ATGCTAGCCTAATACGGGTTGGGGGTTCAACACGAAAAAAGGTTTGTGATAAATACGTTTTAATGAAAATAAACTCACGTTTGACCACATCCTCACCCGATGTTAAGCGGTGGTGTGACCGACTTTTCTTGTCTTTTGTCTTTTTAATTTTTGAGTAAAAATGAGAAACAGTGAGAAAACTAAATAAACACGAAGAAAAATGTTTGGGAAAACGACTTGGTTTGTGACTTTTTTACACGTTTGGGTACGTCTCAGATATGAACACATGCCACGACATCGCTAGCGGTAGTTATTCGATTAGCTCGAATGGCTCAAATTGCAGTTTTCGAAGAACGGAAAAGTGCCAGTAGGGTATTCCATTCCTTTGCCGGGCGCATTAGGAAGGAGGAAGCAAAGCGCATCGTGTGAATGGGTGACAAATCAATGACACAAGGATAGTACTCGTATGTTCCGAACTTTCTAGTCGAGCGGAGTCGATCGCGAGAATGGAATTTTTGTTCAACGTTTCGTCGCGATGCTTTCTTTGAAGAAAGTTTAATATTGATTATACAGAAACACTTGATAGTCTCATGTAAGCGTCAACACCAGCAAACCGTCGATTATGAACTTCTACATCGTATATGAGAGCAAGAACGTCTTTAAGTCTAGAAGTAGAAAAATACGCACATTATCGACTTGTACCGACGAAGTGTCGAATATTCAAAACATCAGAATAAAACCCAAGCACGTTAGTATTTCGTATCGATTTTCGATGTGACGCCGTAAGCCGCTTCAGACGGCTCTAATCCGCGAAGGGCTCTTGGACTTGCTCCATCTGGCGAGAACCGGCTTGATGATTCTGTTTTACGAAACCCATTCGGGCATGAACGCCGCATTACTAACGCATGTCATGTAAATAAACACAGACAGGCAGACGTATATTAAATGAAAATTAGGTACGTTAACTGGCGAACAAATTTATTAGGCATTAAATGTAGAAACATCGAAAGGACTCGTTTTGTAAGAAATTCACTTTCACTTTGGCTTTATTTATTTAACGATATGAATCGTTGTCACTAAATAGCTGCTTCGGCCTTATCAAAAATAAGATAAAATGACTTAAATCTTTGAAAAACAAATGAAAAAGAAAAGACTTAAGTCACAAATTACACGACAATTACAAGCTTAAGTGAAAACCGTTGCATCAGAAACTCCAGCCTTTATTTTCCAGGCATCGATGGGCGCTCTTTAGAAAGAATGATCCCCTTTTCCGCGGATATCCAATCGACTATAACCAAGGGGATTACGTTTGCTCCGGAATACTGCGAATCCAACAGTTTTGCAAACAGATTAATGTCACCATTAATTGAATGGTTCCAGATGTCCAGGTATTAACGTTGATTGAACGGTTTTCCTTATGCGATATTTTACAGGACGTCTGTAAAATGATTTGATGGCTATTTCTCGCAAAGATTCCACATACGATTTTCTTCCGCTTATACCATATTGAATTATGTGTTTCGTCATATTCTGTTTTCAAATAATAACAAATACTTTCATTTGTGTTCATGCTTCTATATTCCAGAGCGGAATATTATTACGTCTTTAATATTCCACAATATCTGCCGCTGCGTGGGATCAATTAATCTCAATTTTCCCTAACACCGATATTTTTACGCTGCCGCCGCACGTGTTCCTTGTTATTTCAAACTCGGATAAGCAAACCTGTTCCAAAATTGAGGTCTCTAAACAGAAGAATTTATAGTACCTTGATTTTATCTTGTTTTAAAACATTTATTGACAATTCTGATATCATTAGACTTACCCCTTCTCAGTATCAGCGATTGTTAACTTCTGTGATTGATTTCGAGTACGCAATCTCTTGTGACCAATTCGTCACCCTGAGAGTTCCTAACATTGTACACGTGTAGCTTAAGTTTTGGAATCATTAATTAATGTTATAATATTAAAGTTATATAATTATACAAATATACCTCTCTCACAACGGTGTTTGTAGTACATTATAATATATTTTAATTGTATAACATCACAACTTGTAAAGTAATAAAAGATCATCAATTTTGTTTGCACAGGGTATTCCATAGATCGAAGAAAACTTTTTGCTAGTAATTTATTTGAAAATTCACAAGAACTTTTGAAAAAGTCCAAAACTTAGTTTTTCTTTTTATACCCGTATTTCATGCCACGCGATTAGAATTTGATTTATTCAAATTGACTTGTTGTACCTACCCACTAGTTTATAATAATATGTTTAAAGTTGTTGAGTTACGATTATTAGTGCCAGGAAACCAAATAAGACATAAATAACTATAATACAAACGACTAGCACAAACTTAGCGTTGTAAATTATAGAGGTACAGTAAGATATAGCAAACTACTGTACAATTGTGTAGATATAATGAGTTAGAGTGTGTTATGCGTCGAACTGATTTTATTACCGTAACAAAACGCGCGCCGGCGCAGGCAGAGGCAAGTTTACATCACTTGTGTCAAGGCAACGGCGCCTTTACACAACTGTTCAGCGTACACGCACTATCTGTTTACTTCGGATTACGAAAATTACCTGCAATTGTATGCGTTATTTGAATAAATATTAGGATACCAGTCCATTAAATTTACTCCAGTTCGTTAAAAAAATCCAATTCCAATTAGCCTGATGTATCCCACTGCTGGGCAAATACCTCCCCCTGATCCCTCCACGCATCCCGACCCTGAGCTAACTTGACCCAAGAAAAAATCATTAAAAAAAAATACAATATGTGTATATGAAACACGCGGTCATGCATTTAAGTTATTTTTGCTTAACTAACTACCTTTCGCACCCTCCATAATAAAGCGAGAAACTTCGAAAAGGAAATTCGAATAACTGAAAAATACATTTTGCTTTAAACAACGTAGTACTAAATAAAACGAGTATATTTGTCATATTTGGTTGGAGCTGCTTTCATTATTTATTCAAATCTATTTTGTCAGTGTTCCAAAATGTTACATTATTATTTGTCATGTCGTTACTTTATTATTGAGGTTGCAATTTGTAGTTGAACGGAAGGTTTGTATATTGCTACAATATATAAAGTGTGATTTCAAACCTTCGACGTGTGTTTTCAATTCAAACAGAGATCAAAGCGCTTAGTGAGCTTCATTAGTCTGTATGTCGCAGTGTTGATTCTCAAAGGCAGCGTTAATTGCGTGAACGGCTCGTGCCGTTCCGTACCCCGTACGTGAATCGCTCTTATTAAGTGTGTTCTAGAAAATCCATTATTTCATTCGTAAATTTAAGCCATGGTGTTCTTTTCGTCATCGACAAGTCGTGCGCCTGGTGAAAGCGACACGCCTATCCATAAAAATTGCAGTGCTATTCAGAGCTTTAAATAGCAAAGATCTTATAGGCACCGCCACTGCGTCCGTCACTCTGAGGCATAAGTTGTAAGTTGACAAGTCCCACGTGTCTGTAATTTCTCCAGCAACCTTATCCTTCTAAACGGAATAGGAATAGGAAGGTGCTATGGTCCAACTACAGAGAGTATGGAAGGACCTAACATCGCGCATAATACCAAGATGAGACTAGCGGGCTCTTTCCCATGGGTCGCTGTCCCACAAAATGGTCCGACCAAGTTTGTACGGCTCTCGGCATCGGTCTCCATGATGCGTTCCACTACGCCAAAGACCGCCACAGATGGCACAGCGTCGTCTCCGCGGGGGAGTCACGATCCTCCGTAATAGGCATACGACGCGAGGAGGAGGGTGTAGTTGGAAAAACCCTTGTCTGCAGAAGATTAGGGCTCCCAGTGGGTAATGCCATTGTTGGTCGGCAGCACTGAATCTTTTCCAATCTTCATGGTGAAGGAAAACAACGAGATCAAACCTACAATAGTCTGCAGAAGACGGTGCATAGCATTCTCAACAGCGAGAGGTATATGGGTTGATACTGTACTTTATTCATACACAACTCCGCCTATTTGTATACGCCTTCACCTGTTTATTTGCACAGCAAACGAGCGCTGATTATATCAAAGAGATTTGTGCGGATCTCTCAATTCCATTTGGTTTGTTAATGGATGAACTAAACTCTCAGCCCGTAACAGATGAGATTAAGCGTAACTAAACAATTAATATCACCATCCATTCGTCGAAGGCGTGGTCAAGACAAAAATGCTTATCCATTTTATTTATGTGTAAATAAATATATACTTATTTTTTAATTTTGTCAGAAAGAGGGAGAGAAAATGTTCCCGCTAATACGCTGACGCGATATTACATTTTTTTTATGAATACACCGGATATTGGAGGGAAGGTTCCGCTATTTTTTATGCTCAGAAATAAAATTATATTAACGTGAATTGATTTTAAGTGGGTACTCAACTGTATATCTTAGAGTACAAATTCGAGATATACAAAGTTATTTTTAACCGACTTCAAAAAAAGGAGGAGGTTCTAAATTCGACTATATGTCTTTTTTTGTATGTATGTTACACGACAACTCCGCCGTTTGTGAACCAATTTTGATGATTCTTTTTTTGTTGGAAAGAGTGTACCTCCATAGTGGTCCCATTTAATTTTGAAGAAAATCATCCACTCTAAGGGTGGCTGTTCATGCATGAAGATTCATTTTTACAAATAGTGCCTAAATTTTATTATAAGTAGCAATTATTTTGATGGTTGATTTTGCTATTCTCCAATTTAAGGCGTTTTTTCTGTCTCAATATACTCTGAGTAGCGAGAACCGATTTTTATTATCTCCTGCATCAAGTCCCGTATAGTGGCGAACTAGGGGATGAATCCGGGTTTGCGCACTTTCCGGTAACCGATTTCAATAAAACATGCTAATTATATGTAATTCCACGTACTTTTGAGGTCGGTTTTTTTAGTACTCTGTACTGAGATTATGTCGTCATGAAAATTTATAGATACTGATTTCTATTGGATTAGAAATATACACATTACATATACTCGTATCACATCTACTTTGATCTTGCCAAAATTCAACAATGTGTACTCACCAGGATAGAAGTCGTGGCTCTTGGACATCTTGACCCTAGCGCCGGTGTCCTTCTGCAACTGCGCGATAGTCTCGCCGCCCTTGCCGATGATGGCGCCCGCCACCATCGAGGGCACCAGCACTTTGAAGTGGTATGTCGGCTCCACCGCTGCAAGAAGACAGGGGATTATGGCTTGTTCAAGGCTGGAAGAATTTGAGATTGTGACTTTATTGTTGAAATTTTCGTTGTAAGCTCAGTGGCATTTAATTTAAAATTGAATAATATGATATCTTAAGTATCCCAAGCATGATGCGAGAGATATCTTACCGATATCATGAATGATATTGACTGTAACAACGCAAAAAAGCTTTATACCTATTTTTAGATATTACTAGGAAAGTCGAAGGCCTCAAATAGGTAATAACAAATTCCCCCAATTTTACTCTCAGTTCTTTCAAACCCTAAAAACTAGAGACGACCATGACAGAAACAAATCTAACAGGAAACCTTGATGATCAAGTTGCCACTAAACCTGGAGAAAACCAAGTCACAATCCCAAAACTCCCAAACGCATTAACAGTGATGGTGAAAGTGCTGTGCCAAGAGATAGTGCTCCAGTTCATAGTTTTTACAGATGATGGAAGCTGGGATGGTTATGTTCCCGAGACAAATGTGCTGATAATGTCGAGCACTAGTGTTTTAGGCGAAGTACGAACATGTTACGATTACGAGTATGACTGTGAAAATAAAGTTCGAATATTGAAGCTTGCGCTACACCTTTCGATGCGATCGGATCTTTGTGGCAGGAGGACAAAGTGGAAAGAAATAAGGTACAAAAATGGCAGGCATGTCGGTGGAAGAAAACTTTACTAGTTCGTGATATAATGGTTCGTGATTAAGTATAAAGCCTACTTATAAAAGTTTAACTAAAATGAATTTTAGTGTAAGGTAATCTTTATTTAACAATAGCACAAAGTAATAAGAAGTACATAAAATTTCTCCAACAATGTTAGCTTTTCACATAATCTTACTTTTCCAGGCCTTCTACTTATTACATTAAAACAAAGTGGTTCAAGTTGCGAATCATTTAAAATCAAGTTTCTTTATTTAACTTTTCCTTTCATCAGAGGCAAAACAATGCAGACGACTAGCTCGAGTTATGTCTCCAGAGGTCGTACGCTATGTACGACGGGACTGCAATTCGAAACGGCTACGTTTATATAAATAGTACAATGAGTGTGTAACGAAAAAATGGAGTGGTAGTTCTAAAAATCCTATTAACTTAAAATGAGAACATTACGCGCATCTAACTGAATGCGGTTATATAAGCATTCGTAATAAATTGTACCGATGAAGGCTAGTTATAATACTGAACAAATTGAGACGACGAACACACGGCATCTTTCGGAAAGCAACTGAAAACTATACAAAACCCGTTTTTAAAACATAAGGAAAGAGATGGTGTAGAGAAATCATAGTAAGATAATGAAAACCCGTGCGGTCTATGTATTTTTATACCCTACGGAACATAGTCGTCTGCTCTTTGGAGAATTTGGTCTATAGATGTTGCAAGATGCATTTTAAAAGACGCGAGAAAAGACACGCGATCAGCTCTTTAAATTTTTTAAATGTCCACGTTTGTTTTTAACTCGTCTTGTGAAAGTGAAGGGATAATGCCACATGTTCGCCTAGAGTCATCTGTTCTCAATATTCAGGTTGAATTGTTCGGGAAGAACACCGCCAATGATTCCTCTCTTTCTACTAAGCCAAAACGAAAGAAATGTGGATCGGGCTCAAAGATCTTAGAATTTTATCAAAAATAATAAAATGTGTTAGTTGTAAAACAACTAGGAACAAGAAATCCTTCATATTCAAGTAAACAATACGCCGCGTAACAAGATGAATGATCACAACGTCCTCATAAATGAACGAGAATAATTCAACGGTAGAACCTTGCGTTGGAACTCGTCAGAATATGTTAATTTGACATCGACCTTTGCTATTCAAGGCTTGCCTTTCGATAGTTAAAATTATTACGTGTCTCTACGTCTATTACTTATTTATATGGGCGTGAATGTGCTGCCTCATTACAAGCAGTCTTGCGCTAACCAAAATCATTCTCGAAATTGTTTATTACGTTTTCTCCATTTCTCGGAGCTTTCGCAATTCGACACTGGGCGATTTTAAATATTTTAATAATTCCACTAGATAATATGTAGTCGGAAAATATCAATTCAGTCCCGCTGACACGATATTCTCCTGTGTCCAGGAAGTTCTTAATTTATAACATTTATGTCAATTTTAGTAGCTTTTTATTACTCCCACAGCTCCAGTTCATGGATAAATTATATTAAATTGGAACGTGCGAATTGTGGGTAACGGATTCAAGATTAAAAATGTCAATCCTCGTAGTAGGTGAAGAAAATGTCAATGAAAGTATTTATTTCGACTAACCTATTCTTTAAACAAAGCAAGGTTTAGGGTTGACAGTCTGTCGTAATAAAGAGAAGGAAACGTAGGTAATTATTTTTTGTATTATTATTTTATTTGCAATCGGCCGCCATAAGCGAATCTTTCTCAAAAAAGCGAAACGTGAGAAGACGTTTTTGGTGGAGCGACTAGTGCCGCACCTCCCAACTATAGAACATGGCCTCGCTTAAGCCGTTTGACCATGGCTGATGGATCTAGAAGTTCCGCGATGAGTGGGTTCGGGTGGCAGGATAGTCGTTCTTTGTGCTTAGTTTTATGTCGGTCAATCTCAACAGCTACCGATATCACGTTTAGATGATCATGGTTCTCTTCATTACGAGGGAACCAAGGGGCATTGCCCTCAGGATACAATTCTGCACTCGTTGGAGACAAAGTATATTACTCTTTCTAGCCACACCCCACAGCTGAATACCGTACGTCCACATGGGTGTTAAGACCGAGTTATAGATTAGGAGTTTGTTGTCTACTGATAATGCTGAATTTCTTCCCATGAGCCAGTGAAGGTTGCGATATTTGAGATTGACTTCATCACTTTTTCGTTTTATGTGATGCTTCCAAGTGAAAACCAAGATACTTCACACAATCTGAACGTGGTAATGTTTCATTACCAAGTCTTAGTGGATTACAGTTTCCTTTTCTCAGTGCAAATGTGATATGATGAGATTTGGTGGTACTGGCCCGGATGGACCATTTACAGAACCATCTATGGGTGAGATCCAGATTTAGATCCAAAAGCAAATGCGAATATCCAAGAACTCGATATAACATAATTGTAATATTGGTTTTCAAAGTTCGCTAATTGAAGATGGTCAAATTTCAATGCTATAAGTATTTTACGATCACTTTGCTAATTACTGATTTAAGACAGAAGTGTTAGTGGGGGGTGCTTGAGGTTGCAATGGGGCTGTCACATATTGTTATGGAATGAGGAAGCGGACTGGGCAGCCTTTGCAGCTGCTTCAGAGGGGCCTGAGGTTGACATTGTACCTGACTTATCTGAAGTCAGGTGTTATGTTCTCGTTGTAAGGAATATTTCGATATGAAGTATCAGGAAAAAGGAATCTGGTACAAAACCATGCAGACTGAGCCTCCTCGTATCCTTTGGTTTGACTGTTAAGTTAAACAGGGGTCAAATTGTTAGCGCGCATAGGCTTCGATCCGGACACGTTCCATTAAACAAATTTTTGTATTTGATGAGGAGGGTGGAGTCACCGAATTGCGAAGTGTGTGGGACTCCTGAGGATGTACATCATTTGCTCATGGAGCGTGTTCGGACGGAGCCTATCAGAGCGAGGTTATTTGCACAGGCTGGTTTCCGTACATTTAATGTTGGGTGGTGTCAATCTGTTTTCTCGGAGCCAACATGTAGCGCTGCGGAGATTTTGTATATATATTTGGTGAGGTAGTAGGTATTTTGATTTATCTGTCTGGATTTTATTAAGTGTTTTCTTGAGGTATTGTTTCTCTACCGGGGCTGATATTTTCAGTAACGATTAAAGTCCCTAACTAAATAAAGAGTAAAAAAAAGCGTTGAAAATTCGAGCTACATTCATTGTACTTGTTTGATATTTTTCGTAGCTCATGTGTAATGCAAAGACAAACATTACAATGTTACGGCAATAAATACCCCGTCGATTTTATCGAGCCAATGCGACGTCGTTACGCATTCTCGGCACGTGTATGCGTAATTGATAAGGAGAGGAGTCGGAGCCAGCGTTTTGTAGGAGGTACATTTTTTGGATGCTCCTCAATTCATTTGGCAGGTACCGCCGAGGGCTTTGTTTTCATTAGCCAATTATTTTATATTATGATTTGTGATTTATACTAGGTTTTCAAGTACAGCGGCGAACACAAGTTATTTATAAATGTGTACCAGCTGGTTATTACAAAAACCAATCACATTTATTTTACGTTTAACTGCTTCCGCGGCCGAACGGTTACCATGGTGGACTGCCGCAGAAGTGCCTGGTTCGATTCCCGAGTCGGGAGAAATATTTGTAAGGCCTACATTTATTTATGGGATTTGTGGTTGTCCATGTGTGTGTCCATGGCACCCGCGATACAGGGTTTACCTAGTGCGAGGCTATGAGTGTGTGTACGTTTAGGTGAAACTTGTTTGTTATCATGAATACGACCATCACCCTACACTTTGAACCTTTTGTACACACTGCAGGCATTCGTATGGGTATTATGTTAATGAACGAGTTAAACAATTCATACCTAAACCCATCGCGCGCATTGAGGTTCCAAGTCCTAATTAGCATAATGTGCAAGAGTATTGTGAAACTAAGCACATTCATAATAAAATTTAAAATTACCCCTGATATAAAGTATATCTTACTTCGCTCATTTCGTAGCACCAAATGAGAGAAAACTGCAAGAAAAAAATCCAGAGCCGTAGAAGAAGTGGTCGTGGAAAAACCATATGGCTTCAAAATGTTGCAGTGGTTTAACATGAGTACCACAAAACTGTTCCGAGTCGCAACTTCACGGATCCAAGTAGCTATAACGATAGCCGACCTCCCGTAGGAGATGGCATTCCAAGAAGAAGAAGGTGCTATATTAATGTAATTGGCGCTACATTTTGTGCTATATTGAATAAATTTTGGAAAAATTGATTTAAGTATGTCAAAACACGTATTATGATTATATAATTTGTGACAATAAAAATCAATTAA